TTATAGGTAGCTGAAGGCAAGCACGACTACTCAGCAACAACTACTATCAAACATAGTATTTCTATTCTTTCAACTAGTAGTCCAGCAGGCACTTGGCTTCCGAGAGCCGTATGGAAATAATAGCGAGAATGTTGCTCAAAGACAATCGATTACCAAAATATAGCTGGATATCTTATGTGTACACAAGAATCAACATCCTAAACTGCTCTGCAAAATGGAAATGGAGGGATGGGAACACAAAGTTAAGCAAAGTACGACTGTGTAGGGCCGCACATATAAACATCAGAAGACTTAAATGGAGCCCGAACTTGCAATAGATGGCAAGCCGAAACAACCAGGACATAATAGTCCATATTGTGCTATAGAGTGCATACTCTTAAATTAATTCTGCCCTATGGATAGTAGTGACGTTCGATACTAGGCTTTGAACCCCAGAGTAGGAGATTTGTTACGATTAAAAACTGATCATGGACTGATCATTAAAAGTGGAGGCCTATTAAAAAGAGGCTCCGTCATAGAACAGATTTATGAGAATTCTTTAAAATGGTTAAATGATACATAATGACAAAAATCAAGTTCTTAAGAGTGAAACTGTCTTTCATAGTGTTTTTAGGCCTCAGGATTATCTATATCTTGCTTTTTTAATTATGGTTAATCTAAAAATAGAGGGGCAAAATTAAGCTGAGAGACAGTCCGAAAATATTCCTTGCAATGTGAGAAAATTAGACTTGAGTAAATCGTGAGAACATTTTTTTCAAAAGCATATTATACAAAATGATAGATTCCACTCGACTCTTAATTAAATATTTGCATACACTCAAATTCACGCTTATCCAAGTAGAATCATATAATTACATAATAACTGAAAGGCAATTAAACTGACCTTGCCCCATGGCCGCTTCCTTAATAAGAGTAACATGTGACTTTGAAACGGCCTCGAGTGCAGTGAAAAGTTCGTCATTGGATTTGCCTTCTGCCCAGTTGGTGGAGGTACGAAATAGCTCGACGAAGCGGCGAGTATTTGGTGAAGCCGAGCGGATGGTCTCGGTGCGACCATGCTTGAAAGCCGCAGTGCTGCAGGATTCGTAAGTAGCAGCAGGACGTGAATGCACCAGGTCGTTGGCCAGCTAATCGTTAATAAAGAGATAAGTGAGAATGACTAAGGTTGTCTCAAAATGGCGTAAGAAACACCCCTCGGTAAGTGTGCGTCAATCACCTAAGCTTATTTTTCGTATGTAAATAGAGTTTCGAGACTACCAGTACATCTCATATCACATAAGGTTTCCGAACTAATGCCTAGCCTTTTGACCACCCGACGTTTTCTCGGCTATTCGTCTTGGCTAGTAGGACATCTTGCATAATAAATGCCATGAATTTTACTTAAACAATATAACCTGACTTGGGTATTAAATTGGCTTAATGTCATTTAGTGCCACTAACTGATGTGTAAATAATTAAAAAATATCGTTCTAAATTATATGCCTTTACTAAGATGAAATTCGACAGTCGTAAACTCCATTGAATTATTCCTCAACGGAAGATAAATTAAAATTCCTTTCTCCCTATGTAATGAAAATAAAAATCAGGGTCAAATGAATGTAACAACCCCGTACTGTTGAGACAAATAAAAAAAGAAAGTTTTTAATAAATAAATAAGGTACTAAATTGTATATAATTCCTGAGAAAGCAAAGTTGCATCGTAATTTCGTTAAATTGCTAAATTTTCGAAATGAAATCAACTAAAAATTTAACTTTTTAGTCGGATGAAAGTTCACTACGGATTAGAGTGCTCTGAGAATATTTAGAAAGGCTGACTCGGAGAAAAATCCAAGCACACTAAAAATTGTAATCATATTCCATCGACCTGTGACTTGTAAAAGCATTCTTCATTCTTCATTCTTCAACAACCTCGGTTTCCATAAAAAGGAGGGCATAAAATACACGAACGAATAATCTGATTTACGGAATTTATGCATTTTTATAAAAAGCGGTTGTTCAAGGAGTTTCAAAGTAATGAAAGGACTGGGCATCTGCAAGTGATGAATGTCAGTAGCTTACCTTTTGCATTTCATAGAACCATACCGGGCCCCAACTTCTGGTTCGCATTGAGTTATGGTGGTGATCATACTAATCCAGAAGATAAGCTAGAGACTTCAAGGCTCACCTGGAAAGAAAGCTGCATCATAGCGTCCGGGCTAAGTCCGGCCATTTTACATATCTGCTTATTCAGGACGTCAGAACCAGTCAGTTGACAGAGACGCAAATCAAGGCAGTGCAGGCGGTCAAGGTAGCATTGCCGGGCTGGTTGTAACATTTGTAAAGTAACACGGTCATCCAGTATCCATTCGAGTCGTTGAACTTGAGCCACCGGAAGACTATAATTGAAAAGAGAACAAATCCTAAAATACAGGAAATAGAATATAAGAATAAAGAAGAGGATATTGTGTTTATAGAACTGAAGAGACTGATCGACTATCGAGTAAAGTTCACTCAGATTCTCAAGCGTTAATTTTGCATAAATGGCAAAACAATTGGTTACAAATAATATTGGCGAAAAGAAAAGTGTCTGGATTTCGTTTTCGCAATTAAGTCGTATTTTCCAAGCGGAATCGATCAAGATAAGAAACAGATCTTCGGAGCAATGAGGGAGATTATGATTGAAGGTCCAAGTCGGATCT